CTCCGGGCGAGTAGTTTTTTAATACATTCCGCCCTGCTCCCGACAAGCAGAGCTAAATGTATATTGTGGAGCCGCCGCTCGTTTTCATACAAGTGATCTAATCATTTCACTTGTATGAAGCGAGAATCGGCGATCCTTTAAACACACACATAGGCAATTGTGTGAGTCCTGCTGCCATTTCACTGTGTGCCATATTGTGGTACCTGGGCAGCACAACGCTCACACACACACCTGCCCCCCCACCTGCCAGCTATACTTTACCCTCCGCCAGTACAGGTGTCCTTACCCCGAACTATCCAGCGCATTCCTGCCCTATGCATTTTGAATTTTGCTCGCAAATTGCAAGCACTCATTGGTCAGCGTGGTCAGGTGATTGGCTGGGAAGCCAGCTCCTTGCTGATTGGCCGCCAATCAGCATCGAGCCTTCCCGGCTAATCAGGTCATTACTCTCCGCCAGATTTCCTGATTGGCTAACAAGCTGGCTCGATGATGATTGGCCGGGAACCCGGCTTCCCAGCCATTCACAATCAAGCCGGCCAAACAACATGGAGTCGGCTTCCCTGGCAGTCAGGAAGCCGGGTAGCATCTCATTACCCGCTGCCCGGCTTCCTGATTGCTCTGAAAGCCTGCTCCATGCCAACGGAAGCACCGATACTCCGTGAGTACCGAAAGCAAAATATCGGTACTCTATACCCAAAAAACGGTATTGGTGCATCCCTTGTTTTAAACTTTTAAAACTTTTTTTTTTTTGTACTGGGAAAAGTAGATTGTCATGAAGGACAAGTAGATATGACCCCTGCTTTAGCCCTTGGACAAGTAGTTTTTTCAAAAATTTCCACACCCCTGTCAGACTGTAGTCCATTTTATGTAAACTCTATTGTGAGTAGTTGGTAATCATTGCTTTATCTAGCCATATGTTTTTTTTATACGTCGCTTAGAAAATTACATATCTACACTGAAGATGGGAATGTTTATTAAAATAAGACAATCTATTACACAAAAATTATTTAGCAGTTTTGTGGCACATTTTTAGATTGAGATTTTGGCCTAATTTAGATTTTGATGAAATAACCATTGCTGCTTGCCTAAGGAAACCAATTAGATAGATTTTTTTTTTTTTTTTTT